AAATATTTAAAAACAAGCTGCTGATTATTTCACATTTTACTTGTGAGCAACGGCACATTTAAATCTTACAAATATAGTTATTTGGCTTATATCGTGATAGATATCGTTATCGCCTGAAATGAAAAAAAACATATCGTGATATGAAAAAATCTCATGTCGCCCAGCTCTACTTAGCACTAGGTGGTTAGTAACTCTTCTTAAACAACTATAATATGTCCGTTCCATGACATAAGGAACTATCTCCCTCGCTCAGGATATGTCCACTGATAACTGATTTAGTGGCGTCTGCACTGGTGTTTGAAAAGTTCCATATTTCAATACAAGCATTGCATGCAAAGCAGACAATGAAAAATGAAGTGGATGAGGTTTCTCAGTACATTACAGCTGGAGCCTTAAATATGTAAATATGAATCCTGCACCAGTTGCACTTTGGTGGCCAGGAATCATTGGGTTAGGTGAAGGTCAACTTGTTGTTGAAGCAATAAAGAATGACTTGGCACTACACCAGTAAGCTACATACCTGTTCTTTATCTAAGTAGGTTGATGTTGTGCAATGAGAGCTGACCGATATACAGAAGAGACACAATTGTGATGCACATCACACACCACTGCTCCTGGAACATTTTTTGAATAGTTATTTCACAGAATAATAATTTACACTTTTATTGCCCATTCCCATTTTACACATATTATTGTTATTGCATGTGTTTAGTCTGCTTAATCACAGTGCATTGTCATATATTTCATTGAGGATTTACAGCTCATCACAGTATGGAAACAGCTTTAGTGAAAGCTGCAGATGGCCTCTGACAGTGGACTCATCTCTGTACTTGTGCTGCTAGACCTCAGCGGAGCGATTAATAACAACAGTATTTTATTGCAGAGATTAGAGAAGGCCATAGCAATTAAGCTCTTGTTTGAATCATGTCTATCTAATAGACTCCAGTTGGCTCATGTAAATGGGGAGTTGTCTTCACACTAAGGTTAATTATGGAGTTCCACAGGGTTCTGTGCTAGGACCAGTTCTGTGTACATTATACATGGTTCTCCTAGGCAGTATCTTTCAAAGGCATTGCGTATATTTTCACTGCTATGCAGATGATCTCCAGCTCTCCCAATGAAGCCAAAAGACAAATCTGTGGGAACGTCTTAAAGACATAAAAACACGGGTAACCTTCAACTTCCTGCTTCTAAATTCAGATCAAACTAAGTTTATTGCACTCAGCCATGAAAATCTTACAAACATGATGTGTAACCAGATGCATACTCTGGATGGGATTACCTTGGCCTTAACACTAACAGAAATTTTGTTTTTGACCAGGTTATGTCCTTCACTGCTTATATTTAACACATATTCAGGATTGCTTTTTTTGCATTTATGCAGTATCTCTAAAATTAGAAAAATTCTATTTCAGAGTGATGCTAGAAAATTAGTTCATGCATTTGTTACTTGAAGAATGGACTACTGTGATTTGCTATTATCAGGCTGTCCCCAAAACTCACTGAAATGCCTTAAGTTGATCCAGAATGCTGCTGTACTGACAGGGACTAAAAGGACAGAGCATAATTCTCAGAATTCTCAAAATCAAACTTAAAATTCTTCTCCTCGTGTATAATCAGGGCCCATCTTTTCTTAATGAAGGTAGGGGCTGTAAAACAGTTGGGATTTACCTGCTGTTATTTTGGGAACTTTACTCATATAAAGTGCCTTGAGGCAATTACTGTTGTTATTGGACACAATATGAAAAAATGTGAGGTGTGAAAGTTTTTTCCTAAGGTTTTATGAATGTAAATATCTGGAAATTTTACACTTGGCATAAGGGACATTTCCTTTTACTCTTTTTAAGGTGAATTAGTGCAGCTGGGTGGTTCATTCTGGAGTGACAGTACCTGTGCCCAGAAGTGCACATGTACCTCAACAGGCCTGCAGTGCCGCAA